GTATCCTCAACTATTCACCATCTTCTTCCTCCCTTTTAACTGTAACCTAATTTTTTGAAAAATCAACCAACCACCCTTCAAGCTTCTCTCTCTCCATAAAGTACCAAACTTCTTCAAACTAATGTCAATATCCTCCACTCTCAACCTAGTTTTAAACCCCACGGACTTGTTTCCTTAAATAGCTCCTATGACCCACGAATTTAAGCTCAAAGGTGATCACAAACTCATTTTGACAAGTTATGTACATACCAAATTTTTTTTCAATATTTGGGTCAACTTTGGCCCTTAATTTCTCCCTCATTTCTCAACCTTTTTGGGTGATTCAAATGCCTAAATTTAAATTCTTTCTACCCCTTTTCTAACCATGTATTTAGTTTGTCCAAATCATGCACAAGGTAAGTGGAAATCGAGCTCCAAAGTGACGGGTTTATCATTTTTAAAAATTGTCACGACTTTTAATTTAATTTTTCACCCACCAAACCTCATTCTTTCTCGATTTTAACTTTAAAAATGGATTCCTTAACCCTAAAAATGGTGGATTAGACACTCCTTCACCTCCGAAACTCAAAATTTTGAATACCAAAAATTCCAAGTTTTAAGTTTAAACAAGGGTTTTGATTTTCTCTCATTATACAACACGGTCACTAAAGAAACTTTAAGAAATTGGTATTGAATATGAAAACAAGCTTACCCTATCAAAGAATTGTGGATGATGTCTTGGAGCAAAANATTCAAGTTTTAAACTTAAAAAAGGGTTTTGATTTTCTCTCATTATACACCACGGTCACTAAAGAAACTTTAAGAAATTGGTATTGAATATGAAAACAAGCTTACCCTATCAAAGAATTGTGGATGATGTCTTGGAGCAAAAATTCTCTTTACAATTAACAGCTCAACAATCATCTCAAAACCCATTTGAAATCCATTTGCTATTTTGCATTCGAAGCTTCCGATAGAAACTCATACCCAACACCGAGTGTGAATATATGAAAATTAAATGGTGAATATGTTTTAAGAGGTTATTGAGGTAGTCAGCGTATTTGGAGAAAACGTCTTTCATGGAAGAGGACTCAGTGGTCACTGTTCTAGACTTCTTTGCTGCGCTTTGTAAGGTCGACTCAGAGAGAGAGAGAGATNAAAATTAACATCGTAAACAGAAGTAGTAAAATTACTTTATTATCCTCAACTATTCACCATCTTCTTCCTCCCTTTTAACTGTAACCTAATTTTTTGAAAAATCAACCAACAACCCTTCAAGCTTTTCTCTCTCTCCATAAAGTACCAAACTTCTTCAAACCAATGTCAATATCCTCCACTCTCAACCTAGTTTTAAACCCCACGGACTTGTTTCCTTAAATAGCTCCCCTGACCCACGAATTTAAGCTCAAAGGTGATCACAAACTCATTTTGACAAGTTATGTACATACCAAATTTTTTTTCAATATTTGGGTCAACTTTGGCCCTTAATTTCTCCCTCATTTCTCAACCTTTTTGGGTGATTCAAATGCCTAAATTTAAATTCTTTCTACCCCTTTTCTAACCATGTATTTAGTTTGTCCAAATCATGCACAAGGTAAGTGGAAATCGAGCTCCAAAATGACGGGTTTATCATTTTTAAAAATTGTCACGACTTTTAATTTAATTTTTCACCCACCAAACCTCATTCTTTCTCGATTTTAACTTTAAAAATGGATTCCTTAACCCTAAAAATGGTGGATTAGACACTCCTTCACCTCCGAAACTCAAAATTTTGAATACCAAAAAATTCAAGTTTTAAGTTTAAACAAGGGTTTTGATTTTCTCTCATTATACAACACGGTCACTAAAGAAACTTTAAGAAATTGGTATTGAATATGAAAACAAGCTTACCCTATCAAAGAATTGTGGATGATGTCTTGGAGCAAAAATTCTCTTTACAATTAACAGCTCAACAATCATCTCAAAACCCATTTGAAATCCATTTGCTATTTTGCATTCGAAGCTTCCGATAGAAACTCATACCCAACACCGAGTGTGAATATATGAAAATTAAATGGTGAATATGTTTTAAGAGGTTATTGAGGTAGTCAGCGTATTTGGAGAAAATGTCTTTCATGGAAGAGGACTCAGTGGTCACTGTTCTAGACTTCTTTGCTGCGCTTTGTAAGGTCGACTCAGAGAGAGAGAGAGAGATTACATTGACGGAGGTGTTGGGGTTTGAAAGCCATGAGGATGAGCTTGTGGAAGGCTGAGGAGTATAACATCTATTAACATATGATCATTTTTAACATTTGGGTATATTTATTTTGAAGGGAAGCTGATAACTTTGTTGATCAATTGCCAAACCAACGCGTCCTCTCCACTTCTATCTGTTCTGACGAAAAACTTAACAGTGGCAGTTTAGTCCATAACCACAGGGGGTGATGTGCTTATTTTCAAATGATACAAGGGTTATCTGCTCAAGGCACAAACCACGAGGGAATAAATTGGAATTTGCCCTAAAAAAATTTATCCTTGGGTCAAGTTGTATGCAATTAGGCTGGAAAGTTTGAAACAATAAATTAGAAACAGCTCCGCCCCGCAATAAAAAAAACACACGCACACACAAAACATCTACAAAAGCTTTACACAGAACGTACCCATCAATTCCAATCAAGCATGTCAAATAACCACGGGAACTCTTTCTCGGAGTTCGAAGTATCACAAAAATCCATGTCTTAATGAAGTGGAATGGAAAAAGCAATCAACATCATGCCATTAACAGTATTCCAGCAATGACATGAAAAAAAGACCTATATTGGGGTATGCATACCTATGAACTTATGAAGCACGCTCATCTAAAATGCATCCATCCCATGGCTGAGAACCTCAGAGTCGAGAATTTTCCAATTGATGTTTCAATGAATACAAATTCTAACGTGATATAACGGCACTTGATCGCAAACACAGAATCTTCTTTAACCTTGCCAACCCACACCATGCTAACTGCAGGTATAAACATGAAACCATTAAATTAGTCGAAATGACGTTATAGTTTGCCATTAGTCAAATAATCAGCATTTAAAATCTGTCAACATGCAGGGTAGGGTACTCGTAGAAGGATATAAGTTTTTTGATCTACATGGAAAAATAGATTTTGGATTACAATCCAGAGGTTGAGAATTGCAAACACGCATTTGAAACTGCTATGAGCTTCCTATTCGTTTTAGAAAGAAAATTAATGCATTATCAAAGCCAATTAGGTCTTCCAAAAGTTATTGAATTGCTGCTACAACCCAAGATTTTTCACCATCTATATTCATTGGCATAATCACAAACCTGTCCCCAAAACCATGATTTCTGATATTGTTATGTGCTATAATAAAGATGACAACCATTAAATGAGACAATTATAAGAGAGATTTCAAGAAAATCACAATTTTCATTGAGAAATCTTGTCGCCTTGATAGAATAAAAGTTTAAAAACAAGAAGAAAAAATCAAAGAACCACAAAAAGCAAATTCTCTTGGATGCATGTCCAATGCCATTGATGAGGGGGTATAACAATACAATTTTCACTAAATGCAATTTTCACTGAAATTATGAACTCGGTTTTAAGAAATCTCAATTAAAATATTTATTCGACCTCTTCCTTACAATTGTAAGCCGAATATTGTTGAGCCTCTTGCCAAAATGCAGGTCTTCAGTGCATAACTAAATGTTTTTGAGAAGCCAGCTGCTAGGCACCCTCTCCATTTTTATTTTTTTTTTATGAACGCACACAAGGCAATACATGTAAATGGTGAACATATTTTACCCACATTATACGACAGTTCCTCAACAAGATGCATGTCCAATGCCATTGATGAGGGGGATTTTCACTAAATGCAATTATTTGGAAATTCGATTAATGTACTGAAATTATGAACTCGGTTTTAAGAAATCTCAATTAAAATATTTATTCGACCTCTTCCTTACAATTGTAAGCCGAATATTGTTGAGCCTCTTGCCAAAATGCAGGTCTTCAGTGCATAACTAAATGTTTTTGAGAAGCCAGCTGCTAGGNATGTCCAATGCCATTGATGAGGGGGTATAACAATACAATTTTCACTAAATGCAATTTTCACTGAAATTATGAACTCGGTTTTAAGAAATCTCAATTAAAATATTTATTCGACCTCTTCCTTACAATTGTAAGCCGAATATTGTTGAGCCTCTTGCCAAAATGCAGGTCTTCAGTGCATAACTAAATGTTTTTGAGAAGCCAGCTGCTAGGCACCCTCTCCATTTTTATTTTTATTTTTATTTTATGAACGCACACAAGGCAATACATGTAAATGGTGAACATATTTTACCCACATTATACTACAGTTCCTCAACAAGATGCATGTCCAATGCCATTGATTTCCGGCACCTTACGTGACTCTATGCCAAAATTATTACGAACTATTGAGCCATGATAAATTTTAAGGCAGCTTGGAGGAAGTTTCCACCAGTNTTTTTTATGAACGCACACAAGGCAATACATGTAAATGGTGAACATATTTTACCCACATTATACGACAGTTCCTCAACAAGATGCATGTCCAATGCCATTGATTTCCGGCACCTTACGTGACTCTATGCCAAAATTATTACGAACTATTGAGCCATGATAAATTTTAAGGCAGCTTGGAGGAAGTTTCCACCAGTGGCCCAAAAACGTGGCTGAATGTAGTAATGGACAAAGATAAGCTTAGACAACGTTATTTGATTTGATAAAACTAAAATGATCATAAATGTTGGCTGAAATATTAAAAGGAAACGAGGTCTAATCTACCATTCCAGTTTGTGTAGAAAGTGTTACCTGCACAACAAGCTTTAGACTTCATTCTGCAACTTTCAAATGATTCACGCTTNTTCAGATTTGATAAAACTAAAGTGATCATAAATGTTGGCTGAAATATTAAAAGGAAACGAGGTCTAATCTACCATTCCAGTTTGTGTAGAAAGTGTTACCTGCACAACAAGCTTTAGACTTCATTCTGCAACTTTCAAATGATTCACGCTTGCCGCGAAATTTCAATATTGTCAACCACTATCTTCGGGATTGTATTAATTTTATGCCAATCTTCCCCATCTTCCACTCTGCATCGTTCTTTTAGAATGGGACTTTCTGTAATGATCAAAGTATTAACGGATAATGGCAGCCCTTCTTCTGGAAATGACGCAAGCTCTGGACAACGGCCGATTTCTAAATGTTGGAGTGAGTTGAGATTGTGAAGTGGTGGCAACGCAATTAGACTCGGGCAATCCCAAATGGTGAGATTAGAGAGGTGAGGCATATCACCGGCCTCTAAATCAGCCCATCTGTTCAACATTGGCATATCATGAAATTTTAATGACTCCAGTGAGGGAAACCGGTCGATTCCACAGAAACCATGATCCACATATTCTAAGCGGGAAAGATTTTCAATGTGAAGAAGTTTGAGGAACTTTAGTTGCCCAAGTGGTGGGAGAACTGAACAAAATCGGCAGCTTTGCAGATGAATTTTCTCAAGCTTGCATGAAGGATCACTTAGCCAACTAGGAAACATGAATCCACTATAATTTGTAATTGACAACTCTTGAAGACTTGTATGAGGTCGGAGCCCTGCAAGGACTTCTTGGTGACGAGGGCTAGCAACAGAGTTGCTCCATTCGAACTCCACCTTATCTAGGAATGACTTCTTGTTTAGCATTGCTGCCTCAGCCTCTGTTACAGTCAACACATTTTCAAGCTTTGTAAGGCAAATTGACCCCCTAAGGAATGTCATGTTCTTTAGCTGCCCAATTCCACATCCTTCATCTCTTCCAACAATAATTGCTTGCAGATTTTGAAGATTAGTTAATCTTCCATATTCTGACGGCATGGAACTCAACAGGCCTTTTATATCCAAGTCAAGATGTCTTAGCCTAGTCAGATTCTTCAAATTTTTAGGCAATGCACGAAATTCACGACAATCCTTAAGCTTTAATATCTGCAAATCAAGAAGGTCAGTGATTGATTCAGGTAGCTTTTTGATGTCGTTTCCAGAGAGGTTGAGGTAGCGAAGATATTTCAATTGGTCGATGGAATCTGGCAGCTCATCAATGCCAATTCGATTTAGGTCCAACACTCTTAAGAATGGCAATTTCAGAAATAGATCATAAGGAACTTGTCCAAGGAAAATGCCACTTTCACACGACACAAAGAATGTTCGCACTCTCTCATAAGCATCGGAAACCTTTAATGCTTTTGGCTTCATGTTCCGATAATGCAAAGATAAATGGCGAGCATTCCTTAACGAGGGATACTTGTTCAACATATTATCCTCCCAGCAAAAGCATACCTCTGGAGAAACTTGCCGTGCTAGATTGTGAATGAGGTCATGCATTTTATATAATGATTGATTGTAAACATTGACTCGCGAATGTTGAAAGAAAGACCTCCACAACAGATCCTTGAAATAATCACTGCCAATGTCTTCCAATGTTCTTTCCCCTTCTGGTTGAATAAACTTTTCTGCCAGCCATGGAAAGATACAATCATTCATTTCAAACTCATAATTCCGAGGGAATATCGAGCAATATGCAAAACATTTCTTCAAATGTGCCGGCAGATGATGATAACTCAATGCCAAAGCTGGAAAAATATCATTCTTATACATTGGCAAGTCCCATAGCTCACTTTTTAAAAGCTCATCCCACTCTTTTTCAGTTGATTTAAAATGTAAGACGCCTCCAAGTGCCTTAGCTGCAAGTGGCAACCCTTTGCATTTCTTTGCTATCTCCTTCCCTAAATCTTCCAACTTTATTTTCTCATCCACATTTTTATTTGACAGTGCTCTTTGTTTCATTAATTTCCAGCAATAATCATTTGACAAACTGTCCAAATAATAAGCCTGAGTTGTGCCAACAATCGATGAAACTACTGAACTCCGAGTGGTTACCATAACTTTGCTTCCTTCGTATCCAACCCTAAAAGGTGNTAATCATTTGACAAACTGTCCAAATAATAAGCCTGAGTTGTGCCAACAATCGATGAAACTATTGAACTCCGAGTGGTTACCATAACTTTGCTTCCTTCGTATCCAACCCTAAAAGGTGAACACAAAACATCCCAATCCCCATAATTTTCACTCCAGTAGTCATCTAGCACCAATAAAAACTGTCGGACAGTGAGAAATTGTTGAAGCTGAATCTGTAACAGATCGAAGTCCGACATCTTGCAACTTTTCCCTGTAATGGACTCAATAATTGACTTTGTAATCCTAATCACGTCAAAGTCAAATACAGAAACCCATATTCGCCAAACAAATTTATCTGCAATTCGGTCATCATTATACACAACTTGAGCAAGTGTTGTTTTGCCAAGTCCAGCCATACCCACAATCGGAATCACAGAAAAATCCTCGGCCAACAGCAAATTGATAAGCTCGTCCTTTTCCTGCTCNTCTATCTGCAATTCGGTCATCATTATACACAACTTGAGCAAGTGTTGTTTTGCCAAGTCCAGCCATACCCACAATCGATATCACAGAAAAATCCTCGGCCAACAGCAAATTGATAAGCTCGTCCTTTTCCTGCTCTCTTCCTATTACAAGACGGTCATCAACCAACGAACTAGTACTACGAGAATAACTATGATTTAGCGATCTAGTTGTTAGATTGGCGGCACCCATATTCGCCAATTCAATCATGAAAAAGCCATCCATTTCTTTTGCAATATCTTCCAAATCTTTCTGTATCCTACCTATCTTATGAGGTACACTCAGCTTAAGAGATGACAATAGCTTGTTACGCACCTGATTTTTTGGTGCTGTAAGAACTGAATCGCCATTATTGTTGCACGTTGAGAGCAACAATGAAATTTCATCAAGCAGATCATCTCCATCATACGAAAGTGTCTTAACATCTTCGAGCCAAGCTTGCCATGCCTTGGAGCTGCTGTAGTTGAACCTCCCGCGATTATTCTCAACATGATCAATCATGGCTTGGATCTTCAAGAAAGTTCTTTGCAGTTTTCTGAGCTCATTATTGACATCAGTTATCAGGCCTATTTGATTACATGAAAAATTTGCAAATTTTTCAAGGACAACTTGCAGGGAGGCAGATGCGATCCCGGACTGAAAGGCTGCTTCCATTTCACCCAAAAAAATTGGAGAAGATGACCCAAAAGTTACAGATCCTCTCCCACAAAAGTCAAGTCTACACCAATAATGATGGTTTCACCACTTTGCAGCTTTCCTCTTTCCTTTTGCTTAATTTTAGTATTCCCACAAAAAGTCAGTCTACACCATTCACCATTTGCAGCTTTCCTCTATCCTTTTGCACAATTTTAGGATAACCAATTGAGTGGAGTGTCTACAGGGACAGGGCGGAGCAGGACAAAAATGTATATATCAAAAAAATTAATCGCAAATTGAATCTCACAAAATCTCTCCAATTTTAATTTATCCTTTTAAAGATAAAAAATTTTAATTTATACCCTCAAAAATATAAAATTGTATCAATGTATATCTAAAACTAACATTTGTCAATTTACCATCTAAAATTAAATACGTAAATTATAGCTAAATTCTTTCAAGTTTATCATTTAATTATTGGATTCTCACATTTAAAATATTATATTTATATCTCTTGATGTTTGGTTGCCCGTAACATACAACCCCGTCGTCAATATATATTAATGTAACCGTTAAAAAATATGATGTTATTCCAATAAACAACTATAAGTTCTACACTACATTTTATTTTGTGGGTCAATTGTACTCTAAAGTCTAAAATCAAGTTTATTATTTTAATACCTAATACAATACATATATTATATAATGTTCAAGAGAACTCATATTATATAATATTTTTTATATCTAATGAAANAGGGTTAATCGCAAATTAAACCTCGAAAGACCTCTCGAATTGTAATTTATATTTTCAAAGATAAAAAATATTAATTTATACCCTCAAATATATAAACCTGTATCAATGTGTACTTGAAACTAACAACTGTTTGTTTACTATCTAAAATTAAATGGGTAAATTATACCTACACTCTTCAGGTTTGTCACTTAATCATTGGACTCTCACATTTAGAATATTACACCACCAACGTCTCCTGACCTTTGTTTGTATGTCTGTAACACATAACCCTCTATTGTCAATATCCACTAATGTAATCGTAAAAAAACTTGATGTCATCCTAATAAACCACAATAATTTTTATACTACTATTTATTTTGTGGGCCACTTGTACTCTAAAGTTCAAAATCAAGTTTATTATTTGAATACCCAATACAATACNTTGGTGTAATATTTGAAATACGAAAAAATCTAAATGTTCTAGGTATAATTTATCTTTTTAGTTTTAGACAACAAAATGAATGATTATTAGTTTTAGGTGTACATTAATACTAATTTATCTATTTGAAGGCATAAATTGAGATTTTAGACATTTGAAGTTTCAAATTAAAATTCGAAAAATCTTTTAAAGAGTAATTTGTGATTAAAAATATCAGTAATGAATATTCTTTTTTTTAATGGTATATAATGAATATTCATGGGTTCGCTGGCAGCTGTCGGTGGAGTAGGGGTTGCTGGGTTATGTCGCTGGGCAGTGGGGCAGGAGGTTGGTTTTGCTGGGTATGTCGCTGGGTTATTGGCTGGGAACTTGGGTTGTTGGTGGAGTTTTATGCTGGGTATTTTGTGTCGACTCCTGTAGGTGGAGTGGGGAGATTCAATGAATCAATTATTGGCCGAGTGTTGGCTGGGGCAGTAAGTGGGCTGGTTCTGTGGGTGGCTGTATGCTGGGAAGGGTGGTTTTGCTGGGGGCCGAGGTGCTGGTTTTGGTGGTTTCGCTGTGGCTGAGTTGGATTGTGGGAAGGCTAGGTCGCTAGGTTAGGGTTAGAAGTAGGATTAAAGGTACCGTTTTGCTCCCATACCAATGTGAAGTATTTATGAGCGAAAGAGATGCTCAAATTTAAAATTAGAGTCTTTTATATATATATATATATATATATAGTCAAATAATACAAATTGACATAAACAGATTTAGATAAAATAAAAAAATCATAACAAAGATAAAAAAAAAACCTCTAATAAACTAGAATATAACTTCAAAACTCTTGCTTTTTTTCTTTAACTTTAAGTATAACCACGTGAGTGGAGTGTCCACAAATATCATATTTAGATGGGATAAAAATATAAACAAAAAAAAAGTTAATCGCAAATTAAACCTCGAAAGACCTCCCGAATTGTAATTTATATTTTCAAAGATAAAAAATATTAATTTATACCCTCAAATATATAAACCTATATCAATGTGTACTTGAAACTAACAGCTGTTTGTTTACTATCTAAAATTAAATGGGTAAATTATACCTACACTCTTCAAGTTTGTCACTTAATCATTGGACTCTCACATTTAGAATATTACACCACCAACGTCTCCTCCTGACCTTTGTTTGTATGTCTGTAACACATAACCCTCTATTGTCAATATCCACTAATGTAATCGTAAAAAAACTTGATGTCATCCTAATAAACCACAATAATTTTTATACTACTATTTATTTTGTGGGCCACTTGTACTCTAAAGTTCAAAATCAAGTTTATTATTTGAATACCCAATACAATACATGTATTATATAATGTTCAAGAGNCAACAATAATTTTTATACTACTATTTATTCTGTGGGTCACTTGTACTCTAAAGTTCAAAATCAAGTTTATTATTTGAATACCCAATACAATANCGGAGCAGGACAAAAATGTATATATCAAAAAAATTAATCGCAAATTGAATCTCACAGAATCTCTCCAATTTTAATTTATCCTTTTAAAGATAAAAAATTTTAATTTATACCCTCAAAAATATAAAATTGTATCAATATATATCTAAAACTAACATTTGTCAATTTACCATCTAAAATTAAATACGTAAATTATAGCTAAATTCTTTCAAGTTTATCATTTAATTATTGGATTCTCACATTTAAAATATTATATTTATATCTCTTGATGTTTGGTTGCCCGTAACATACAACCCCGTCGTCAATATATATTAATGTAACCGTTAAAAAATATGATGTTATTCCAATAAACAACTATAAGTTCTACACTATATTTTATTTTGTGGGTCAATTGTACTCTAAAGTCTAAAATCAAGTTTATTATTTTAATACCTAATACAATACATATATTATATAATGTTCAAGAGAACTCATATTATATAATATTTTTTATATCTAATGAAAACATTATTTGAAGAGAATTATTTGGATACTCAATTGGAGGAATACTTTGAGTCATATTTAGATTTTCGGGGAGATGTAGGTGTAATATTTAAAATATGAAAAAATCTAAATGTTCTAGGTATAATTTATTTTTTTAGTTTTAGACAACAAAATGAATGATTATTAGTTTTAGGTGTACATTAATACTAATTTATCTATTTGAAGGCATAAATTGAGATTTTAGACATTTGAAGTTTCAAATTAAAATTCGAAAAATCTTTTAAAGAGTAATTTGTGATTAAAAATATCAGTAATGAATATTCTTTTTTTTAATGGTATATAATGAATATTCATGGGTTCGCTGGCAGCTGTCGGTGGAGTAGGGGTTGCTGGGTTATGTCGCTGGGCAGTGGGGCAGGAGGTTGGTTTTGCTGGGTATGTCGCTGGGTTATTGGCTGGGAACTTGGGTTGTTGGTGGAGTTTTATGCTGGGTATTTTGTGTCGACTCCTGTAGGTGGAGTGGGGAGATTCAATGAATCAATTATTGGCCGAGTGTTGGCTGGGGCAGTAAGTGGGCTGGTTCTGTGGGTGGCTGTATGCTGGGAAGGGTGGTTTTGCTGGGGGCCGAGGTGCTGGTTTTGGTGGTTTCGCTGTGGCTGAGTTGGATTGTGGGAAGGCTAGGTCGCTAGGTTAGGGTTAGAAGTAGGATTAAAGGTACCGTTTTGCTCCCATACCAATGTGAAGTATTTATGAGCGAAAGAGATGCTCAAATTTAAAATTAGAGTCTTTTATATATATATATATATATATATAGTCAAATAATACAAATTGACATAAACAGATTTAGATAAAATAAAAAAATCATAACAAAGATAAAAAAAAAACCTCTAATAAACTAGAATATAACTTCAAAACTCTTGCTTTTTTTCTTTAACTTTAAGTATAACCACGTGAGTGGAGTGTCCACAAATATCATATTTAGATGGGATAAAAATATAAACAAAAAAAAAGTTAATCGCAAATTAAACCTCGAAAGACCTCTCGAATTGTAATTTATATTTTCAAAGATAAAAAATATTAATTTATACCCTCAAATATATAAACCTGTATCAATGTGTACTTGAAACTAACAGCTGTTTGTTTACTATCTAAAATTAAATGGGTAAATTATACCTACACTCTTCAGGTTTGTCACTTAATCATTGGACTCTCACATTTAGAATATTACACCACCAACGTCTCCTGACCTTTGTTTGTATGTCTGTAACACATAACCCTCTATTGTCAATATCCACTAATGTAATCGTAAAAAAACTTGATGTCATCCTAATAAACCACAATAATTTTTATACTACTATTTATTTTGTGGGCCACTTGTACTCTAAAGTTCAAAATCAAGTTTATTATTTGAATACCCAATACAATACATGTATTATATAATGTTCAAGAGTACTCATATTATATAATTTTTTTATATCATATTATATGATACAAATTTGTTATTAAAAAAAGCAATCAATTGGTATAAGGACTAAATTGAGTGTAAACTCGTAATCTTGTTGAGAAACTAATTTTTTTTTAAAGAGCATAAATATTTTTGGGTTAGTACAAGTTATTTATTTGCTTTTGCATCTATTTGTGTGCTATTGGTTCGAGCTACTAATTTACTAAAAAAAATTTAGGAACAAATATACAGTTATTTTAGAAAAATAAGAAGAAGTGTATTAAATAACATAATAAAAATAGGTTTTGGTTAGTATACATGAGTTGGGAAATTTTTCATTTGCTTAGCTCAATTCTATAAAAAAAAATACTTATTGTATAAGATTAGGGGTTAAGTGGACCACTAACTCAGTGAAAAACAAATATTAAATTCAATACGATCCAAAATTAAATGCCAGCGTATAACAATGCCTTTTTTTTTTTTTTGAACTTGAAAATGGCCCATAATCAGATTGAAAAAAATCAAATTAAATTCAAATTCCAGTTAACATGTAATTGAAAGTTTTATAATTTGAGTTGAATCCAAATTAAAAATAGATTTCGAACAGTGGCAGAAAAACTACTATCTTTTGTAGAGGCCCACATTATATGTGTCATAATCAAGTTTTGACTTGGCTGTCTGCTATTAATTAAGAGCTCCCACTGAGCTGTTAACCTGTCAGGAGAGAACTGTGAATGGTTTGGGTGGTGGTGACGTGGAGGCGTAGGACTTTAGGGTAATTGGAAGGGCAAAGATACAAATGAAAAATATTGAAATTTTAACTTACAAGCACCACTGTATAAACTCACGGCCTGGTGTTCAATAGTCTTTCCACTCGGATAAACTTGCATTACATGAAAATAGTACAACATAGAGATAGAGGGGAGAAAGAGAGAGGAATTGCAAAGTAGAGGCGCTTACAGAAGTCTTACATGTTACAATACCAAAAAAAAAGAAAAGATTCAAATATTATTCCATGTTCCTTTCCACAATTTTATCAGCAAGAAGACTGCTGTTGAATATCCCCAAGCACAGTGAACCTTCAAAAAATTTAACAAGAGTTGGAATTGCTTTCATAAATAAGCACAACAGAAAAGGTTAAAAAGTGTCATGAAGAAATGGCTGCATAATTTGGTGTGTTTGCACAGCTTTGGCTCTTTGGATACAATGGTGGTTTCTTTGCTGCCACTTCAGCCCCAACCTAGGAATACATATAAAATACTCCTATATCAAAATAACAAAATATGGACCAGTTGCTATGCTATGCTCAAAACCAAATTCATTCAGAGTTCAAATCTATGATTTTGAGGAAAATCTTTTCGCACTTCCTCCACACCCACCCAATTTTGTAGTCGCTTTTTCCTTTCTAAGAAATCCCAAAATATATGTCCACCTGGAAAACATGCAATAAAAATATAAAATATGCACTAGGGGTGACCTTAAATAAAGGATGTCCCAAATTCTATTATTTACTTTAAACAGTCAAGATAATCTACTAAATCTTAAATAAGGGATGTTTCCAATTCTATATCTACTTGGAAAAGTTGAGAAAATATACTAAAGGTCATCCGTTACTCACCATCCCTTATGCCTGGATGGGAAACTTTACCAATTCAATTTTGTTTCTTTAAGTAAACTCCAAATATAGCATCAAAAGTTCAGATTATTTTCAAATAAGGACCAGATTTTTTGCAGATACTTTTATGTATTGGGATAACCAGAGTCCTATTCAGATTGTACACAACTCTATTTTAGAGTGCCATTCAGATAGCACACAACTCTATTTTCCAAGTGTGGACCAACCATAATTCCTTTCTTATACAGTTGGCTGAAAACTTCACAAAGTTTCAAACCATTCTGCATTTTCATTTTCTTTTCAATAAACTATCAATGTTTCCTATAGTTACATCAATAGTTTGAGGGGAGTGTTAAGATTGTAATCTTTGCCTATTTCATTATGGGTGGTTCAGTCTTTTTCTTGATTGTAGGGTTTTATATTCTCTATTTTTTCATTATCAGGGAATATTATACAGCTACCACCAGTTTTCTCTCTTTCTCTTGTACGCATTTTTTTCCTGTAAGCTAAAAGAGATGAATTTAAAGAATATCTCTTCTTGTTAGGACTTTCCTACTTCCCATTGTGGTAAAGGCTCGGCTTCAAAACCGTAAGTGGAGCTTCTACCTCACACGGCTCCTATAGGGATGGAGGTACTATTCTATACCTACTCTTTCAAAAGTACCTTTTTTCCGTACCTCAGGTGATGTAGTGTCAAGTTCAATATTAGTAAGCATACAAGGAAAGTTCAACAAGATGTAATAAAAACTGCCAAGTACCACAGCAAAAAACTAGCAAAGAGTGAGCACCTTAGGCAGCAGACATTTCAGTCTGATCATGATCCTTTTAAGTGGGAAATATTTCCAGCTAACTCATATGGCACATTGAGTCTAAGGATAATAGTTTCCCATTCTAAGTTTCTAATGAAATAAGGCACTAACACCCCTCTTCTAAATCTTGCGGATGATACACCAAATTCGCTGGACTTTATTGTTGTTTATCAATCACAAACCATCAATCCTACAGGTATCATGAATCAAACTTTTGCAGTCATGACTATGGCCGACAAGTGCACATTTAGGATGTTGCCAACACAAAAGACTATGCATCAACAATTATTTTATAAATGGGCCCCAAACAATTTTTTATTCAATCCTACATGTGATAACCCTCTTTAACCCACAATCCAAACACCCCCAAAGGATATCAAGGAGATAGTCACAAATGGGGTAAACATAAAGGAGCAACTTATCGCTCATCACAAACCAACAATTGCACACGGAAATCAGCTAACCATACCTAAAGCTTTTAACTCAAAACATAAGCATGAGAATGATTAAGGGGTTTCATGTAAACTTGATAAATTGGATGCTGCAGTCATTTCATTTTACAGGCTGCACTAACAAGAGAATAAGTTATAATATTGCCATCATAATCTAGTGGGGTTCACTAAAGGAAGAAAACAAAGGCCGTTGGAGATAGATTCAATCCAATCCAGAGATTAGAAAAACAGCCAGCTCTTCACAAGTGGAATCCATCTCTACAAAAATAGCTAGCTCTTCACAAGTGGAGTTCACTTGAGTAGCCAGCAAATTCGAACACCCAGTCCCTTGGATAAAAGAGGAGCACTCACTCAGCCAAATTATAAGTGGCACTCTGACAACCAGTGTAGTTCAAGGGTTATTCTTTTCTTTTTTTGTTTTGGTCACAAGTACAATGCTTTCCTATATTGTATTATCTTTATTGGTTTGCTGGTCTAATACTCCATCCTTTCCTTTACATCAAAAGATTCAGAACAGAGGAAATTTGGATAAGAAATCATAACAGATTATTCATGCTTTCCTATCATTCTAGTAATCAACCAGATTGCTGATTTCTAGATCATGAGTATCAAAATTAATCTGATACATATAAGCCAATAAAAGAGTAAAGTTTTCAAGATGTACCTTTTTGGCAGTCAAAACCCTGAATCACACCCTTGATTTGAAGAGATCTCTTGATGATCAATCCATATGCTAGGCACATGGGCTATCTTGAGCCAATCTTGACCTTCACACTTGCGGCAGCGTTCTTTTATCTTAGGGCAATCTCTTAATATTAGAAATTCAAGTGAAGCTGGCATCCCTTCATCAGGCAAAGCTTGGAGTTCCCCACAGTGACTTATTTGCAAATGTTTAAGAGAGGTGAGATGCGATAACAGTGGAAGAGCAGAAAGTTTTGGGCAGTATGATATTCTGAATTCAAGAAGGCATGGAAAGTCACCATTTTCAACTCCTGTCCATTCTTCTAGGTTAAGCATGACATCAATTGTTAATTTCTCTAACTTTGGAAATGCATGGTAACCTTGATTCCTCTCAATTCTGCAGAACGTGGAACTAATATCCTTCACTCCATTCATTTCAATCAATTTCAGAAATTTGAGTGATGGTAGTGCACCAATCGATGGCAGAAGATAACAATTAATGCACCCATAGAGAGTAATGTCAATGATGTCAGCAAATGATGGGTTACTGATCCACCTTGGAAGCCTTGAACCATTGTAGAATAATATTTGTAACTCTTTGAGGCCAAAGTGGGGTTGAAGACATTCTAAGATTTCCTCTTCAGCCTGAGTTTGATCATTCTGATGATCACCCCAACGTAGCTCCAACTTCTTTAGGTACTGCTTATTGTTCAAGGCAGCTGCTCTAGCCTCCTCTGAATTCAAAACATTTTGAAGCCCTAAAATACAAAACGATCCACTAAGGTTGTTCATATTCTTGAGCTCCCCAATTCGACATCCATCATCTCTACCAACAAGGAACGCTCGCAAAGTTTGAAGGTTCGTTAAATTACCCATTCCTGGGGGCATTGACTTGCATTGGCGTACAATGTCAAGATCCAGATGGCGTAGGTTAGTCAACTTCTTCATGCCTTTTGGTAATCCAATAAGACACAAACAACCTCGGAGTCTCAGTGTTTGTAAGCAGTTCAAGCAATCTATCGTTGTAGGCAAGTCCGCAATTGGTGTCTCAGAGAGGTCAAGATATCGTAGTTCTAAAAGATTCCCAACAGAATTTGGTAGTTCTGATATGTGGGTTCGACTCAGATCTAAAGTTCTTAATTGTTTCAGAATAAGGAAAAGATCAAAAGGAACTTGGTTAATGGAAGAACCATATCCAGAAAGCAGAATGAGTGTGCACAACTGCTTACAGTTTTTGAGAACATCAAAAATTGCAAAATCGAAGTTGTTAGAACGCAAAGATAAGTGTAATGTCTCTTTAGAAATGTCGCTCAGCTTACCTTCCTCCTCCACTTTCATGTAAGCACCCGCCAATGCTTCTTCTAGGTAGGAAAAGTAAGTCATGGCATTGTTCACCTTGTACATCTCTTGTCCAACACGGCTATCAAATCCTGACAGCAGTATGAATTTATTATTCAGCAACATCTTAAAGCACACTCGGCCAACATCCTCCACTCGCACCAGTTCTTCAGGCTGAAATAATCCCTGTGCAATCCATAACAGAACCATTGTATCCATATCAAATTCATAATCAAGAGGAAACAGTGAGCAGAATAGAATTGCCTTCCGGATATGTTCCGGAAGACTCTCAAAATCTTCCCAATTTTCAAATCGCAGGAATTTGATCAGATTTTCAGCCCTCCGCAAACTGCTATCATCCGTTACGGCTAACCGTTTGAGCTTGCAATCGGCATGGGCATAAAAGGAGCGTCTCATCTCCATATTCAAATTACTTGTCATGGATTTCACGGATCGAGATTTACCAGAAAGGATTGATCGACCGTCAATTATTATCCTTCGCAACAACTCCCTTCGCAACGACCCTCTCCGCCGCGGAATCAGAGTACCCTTATTGCATACCGGTTTGGAAGCCTTGTCGCTTCCCGTTTCTGAATCAGAATCCATCCCTAGACAGCTAGTCGACACACACCGCGGAATCAGAGTACTCTTATTGTATAACGGTTTGGAAGTCTTATCGCTCCCCGTTTCTGAATCAGAATCCATCCCTAAACTGCTAATCGAAGTCTTATCGCTTCCCGTTTCTGAATCAGAATCCATCCCTAGACTGCTAGTATACACAAACCCCGGAATCAGAGTACCCTTATTGTATACCGGTTTGGAATTCTTAAGGCTTTCCGTTTATGAATCAGAATCCATCCCTAGACTGCTAATCGACAAACGGAGGAGAGAGAAACTAGTCTCTAATATCTAGTGTTTCCTTTCCGTAGAGCCCATTCCCTTCTTCACCCTTCCATTATTTTTTATTTTTATTTTTATTTTTTGTCTTCCCTTCCGTTTGTTTACAAAGAGTCCTTCCACTATACCGAAAGCAAATACCGTTAGATGCTTCACACCGTTGATTTAATTTTTATGAGTTTTTAGCCGTTGATAAGTTTAAATTGGAGGATTCCAGTTATTTATTGGACGGGTAATCACAATGAAATTAGGTTTCACTTAAAAATTAAATAATCTCGTACTAAAAAAAAAAATAACATATCTAAAAAAATGTGATAAATTTGCCATCAAAAGTCATAACCTATCCCAACAGTGGTAATCAACTCAAAAATTATAATTATGAGTGTTCACCCTATTCTATGGGTAAGAAATATAGTCTTTCATTTTTCTATCCGATATATTACGAATTTTTTTTTTCTTATCCTATCTTACTCGATCAAGTGTAATATTTTTATCCGATTAATCGGGTAGTAAGTTGGACAAACACTTTTGTAATTATTAATTTTTGGATTATTTTAATAATTCAATTAAATAATATGCACCAATTTAACAACAAAATAAATCAATAACACTAAAATCTAAAACAACTACAACAACAATTACAATAAAATATAAGAAAAAAAAACAATAAAATACAAGAAAATATAAACATCAATCCATCATAATTGTTACACAAATATAATATCAATTATTTTAAATTTAAACCATATGAAATACATTAAAATTATAACTACTTCAATAGATCACTAGTTCACCACATATCATGTAACCTATACCAAAAATAAAAGTTTTTAAACAAACAAAATTTTTGTTTAAGAAGAAGCCCTAGTCAGCTCTGTACAAGCCCTAGTAGTCACCTAGCTCCTTCGATAGCGAAAACACCGTCACACAGAGCATCATGATCAAGAAGAAGCTGGCGTAGAAGCAGAGACAGAATGGACCCAATCCTCACTGGATTCGCATGAGTACCGAAAACACCATCATGTACAATGTAAAGTGCAGGCACGGGCACCGTACGAAAGCTAGGGTTTTGAGGTTCATTAAATAGTTATTTTGGATTCCGATTTAAGACTTGAAATTAGGGTTTTTCATGTTTAATGTTAACTGGATAAATTTTAAAAGCTTAAAAAATACAGAGAAGACCTGAATGATGTTTGAAAGCTAGGGTTTTAAAGTTCATTAACTTGTTGCTTAAAAAAAAATTAGATCTGTAGATGAAGGCTTGAATGATGAAAGCCACCAAATTGTGCCCAAACAGAGACAGAGATAGACAGAGAAAGAGAGTACCTGCGAGGTCGGGATTAAACGATGAAGGCCTGAGCTATGGAGGCAGAGACTTGAGCGATGAAAGCCAATGGAGGCGAGAGGAGAGGAGTGTAGTGAGGCGCTCGCTTAGTCAGTAGACGATAAGGTTGGTTAGCAATTAGGGTTTTTTTAGTTTATATATATATAAATTAATTAATGCGGGTAGGATAGGATATGAATGCAAAAATAGATGGGTATTCTGCATTTCTACCCGATTTTATTGGAAGATCAAAAACTCTTCTGTATTCCTACTTGATTTTTGCGGCTAGTCATTCAGTAAGATAAAATAAGGTCGAGTAGAGTAGGAAATTACGACCAATCAAAAATTTAAACGCCCATAATTGTAACACCACTTTAAAAGATTGTAACCTAAACCAAGAAAGTTATAATTTCATTGACTTCAAAAAAGGTGTAACCTAATCCAAAAAGCTTATAATATAATCAGAAAAATTGTAATCTCATAAAAAAAAAAGTTGTAACCTAGTCCAAAAAAATTGTAATTTCTACCACAAAAGTTATAATTCCACTTAAAAAAGTGTTAACTCCACCAAAAAAAGTAATAACTCCACCACCCAAAAGGTTGTAAGTCAAGCAACCCAAAAATTGGCAGCCAATCTAAAAGATTGTAACCCAATCCAAAAAAATTGGAATCCTATCCCAAAAATTGTAACTTAATCCATTATATTAGTTGGAACCCTACCAAAAAAATTAAAGCCCAACCCAAAACAAGTAGACCCCACCTAAAAATTATAACATAATTATAAAAGTTGTAACATAATAGGCTAATACAAAAAATTAGACTCCTGAAACTCAATTAGAAAATTGGAACCCACCCAAAAAGTTGTAACCTAANAGTTGGAATCCACCTAAAAATTATAACATAATCATAAAAGTTGTAACATAATAGGCTAATACAAAAAATTAGACTCCTGAAACTCAATTAGAAAATTGGAACCCACCCAAAAAATTGTAACCTAATCAAAAAAATTAGAACCCACATCCCAAAGTTCAGATCTCTATTAAAAAAAATTAGAACTCAACCCAAAAAAGTTAAAACTTCCTAAACAAGTTGGAATCTACTCCCAAAAGTTATAACCTAATCTATCATAAAAGTTGAATATCTACTAAAAAAGTTAGAACTCAAACAAAAAAAATTAAACCTAGTAACTCACTTATAAAAGTTGGAACCCACCCCATAACCCAATTAGAAAAGTTGGAACTCACCCCTAATTTTGTCCCCTACTAAAAAGGTTGGAACGCAACTCAAAAAAATTAGAACTCAACCCAAAAAGTTAGATTCTATCTCAAAAAAGTTAGACCTACCCCAAAAATATATTTATTATAAAAGTTGAACCCATACCAAAAAAGTTATAAATCAATCAAAAAATTTAGAATCCACACCCCAAAGTTTGTAACCACTACCTAAAAGGTTAGAACTCAACTCAAAAAAATTGAACCTCATCCAAAAAAAGTTGGACCCCTCCCAACCGAAAAAGTTGGAACCCTTCTAGACATGAATCCACCTCCAAAAGTTGTAACTTAATCCATCATAAAAATTGAACCCCTACAAAAAAGTTAGAACTTAACCCAAAAAATTAGATCCTATAAAATTTTAATAACTTTACTTATAATTAAAAAAATTTGTATTTTAACTAAAATTTGTGTGATAGTTAAGAGATAAAAATGTATTTACTCTTATGGTTGTAATTTATTTATTTGTAACATTTTTTTTTATATTTTTACAACTTTTTCTTACCAAATTACGAGTGGTCACAAAGTAGTATGGTTGGTCATAATTTGTTTATTTATTTTTAATCGTTACAATTTTTTCCTTATTGTTAAAACTTTTTTCTTGCTGAATTATGATCGCGAGATAGTACAATCGGTCGTAATTTATTTATTTATTACAATTAAGCTAATAACACTTTATCCTCTAACTTTTTTCAATTTTGAGTTTCACTAAAAAAAAACCCAAATAATTAGGACCAACCATAAATATATAAATATTACAACATTTACCAATGGTTAATTACAACATTTGTAAATGTTAATAGTTGTAATTTTGTCCTATAAAACTTTAATTGATTTGGTCTTTAAAAGCGGGACTATTTAGAAATATTGAATATTTTTGGACTAAACTCAAAAATTTTGTTACAGTTAGAGGATAAAAGTATAATATTAACCCTTTAAATTAAGATGGATCACTAGTGCTTACGGTCGGTCGGTCGTCTTGGCCTCATTTATTAATCACACTTTTATACTCTAACTATCAAATTGTCATTTTCATCCAAATATATTCAATTTTTTTATTTTATTCCCTAAAATTTTAATCTAATCGTTCTTAATCATTGTAGTTAACAAGACTGACCATAACTCCTAATTTAATTTAACGTTAATAAGAATTTTATCCCCTAACTTATCAATTTTGAGTTTAGCAAAAAAAGTTAATAATTTAGGAGACCATAAATACATAAATATTATCTAATTTAACAATGCTTAATTAGTTTTGTCAAAGAATCAATTATAAACCGGCCATAAATATCTAATCTAATTTAAAAATATTTAACTACACTTTTATCCTATTATTTTTGTGAATTTCTCATAAAAAATCTATATTGGAGATGATGGATTTAGTTACATTAACGAGCCTTAAATTGAATATGATCGCACATGCTTAGTTTTAAATAAATTATGTGTATTAAAATTATACTTATATCCACCCGTTTCATTATTTTCAAATTATTTGAATATTAATTTGATAAAATTTATTAGATGAAATTGAATGTTAATTTGGTATTGATTTGATGAATTAAATGTTTATTGGATAAAGTTGTAAATTACTTTGGTGTTGATTTTATAAATTGAATTTTTATTGGATAATTTTGGATGTTAATTTGATTAATTGAACGTTAATTTAGTGTAAATTTGATAAATTGAATATTAATTGGATGAAATTGCTTATTACTTTGATTTTGATTTTGATTTTATAAATTGAAACTTTATTGAATGATTTAGAATGTTAATTGAATGAATTTGAATATAAAGTAGATGAATTGAATATTAATTAAATGAGATTAGATGTTAAGTTGATGAATTAAATGCTTATTAGATGATGCTGAATGTTAATTTGATATAAATTTGATGAATTGAATATTAATTGGATGAAATTGCATATTACTTTGGTTTTGATTTTATAAATTAAATCTTTATTGCATGATTTTGGATGTTAAATGTTTTGTCTAGGACTATTTAAACACAAATTGAATATTTTAAAAATTAAATTAAAAAAAATTAAAACTTTGGAAACCAAACTAATAAATGTGTATAATTTAGGAATAGGAGGAGGGAGATAGGGGCGCGACACGAGCATACTAAGTGAGAGCCCACAATGTTTAAAGGGTCTATGAAGTGATCCAAGTTTAATTGAACCATACATCAGTTAAAAATTAACTACCCAAATACATAGGGTTAAGAGCACATTTGAGAATTAAAAAATTTTCATGTTAAAATATTTTTATTGGTAATATTATATCATATAAATATAGATATAGATAGTGTCTTTCACATTGTATTTTAAGTAATGATAGGTTTCATACTGCTTCCACTGCAGACGTTTGTTGCAAACGAGTCATGTGAATTTATTTTACTGTGGTAAAATTCAATGACGCATCCAAATACAACAAACGTTTTGATTTGAGACAAATGAAAAACTACGTGTCCGCGTTGGGTATTACTAACGCTTCGCCATACCATCCCAGTCTATGGTCTTCCCCGCCTTGAACGTCGTCACGTTCGCTAGCTTCTTCGCCACTCCGCTCATTCTCTCTGTCTCTCTCTCTTCACTGGTGAAGATGAGCTCAGGCTCCTGTAAATTGTGACACGCAAAAAGCCTTTTTTTCCAAAGGCAAGAGATGCGCTCCTTCAACCTTTGGGTTTCATTCGGCCAGACAATAGTCCGAGTAAATTGCGGGCCCATCTATTTGGATATGGCCCAAAATTGGCCCGTTATTATTTTGGACGCGGGCCTGGGCTAGAAGTCTTAGTCCAAGGCAAAAATACTACGNTCGGCCAGACAATAGTCCGAGTAAATTGCGGGCCCATCTATTTGGACATGGCCCAAAATTGGCCCGTCATTATTTTGGACGCGGGCCTGGGCTAGAAGTCTTAGTCCAAGGCAAAAATACTACGTATAAACTGTAATAATTTGAAGTATCCCACGTTTTTAAAAAGGGTTCTTTGGAAGTTGGTATACTAAATTAGACTTATTTGACAAAAAATAGATAAAACAAAATATTTNGACGCGGGCCTGGGCTAGAAGTCTTAGTCCAAGGCAAAAATACTACGTATAAACTGTAATAATTTGAAGTATCCCACGTTTTTAAAAAGGGTTCTTTGGAAGTTGGTATATTAAATTAGACTTATTTGACAAAAAATAGATAAAACAAAATATTTAAAAAAAAAAATCCAACTAAAATACAAAGACGTAAATGCCCATTTTATGGTCATTTCATTCAAAATCTNCATAAAAGGAGCGTCTCATCTCCATATTCAAATTACTTGTCATGGATTTCACGGATCGAGATTTACCAGAAAGGATTGATCGACCGTCAATTATTATCCTTCGCAACAACTCCCTTCGCAACGACCCTCTCCGCCGCGGAATCAGAGTACCCTTATTGCATACCGGTTTGGAAGCCTTGTCGCTTCCCGTTTCTGAATCAGAATCCATCCCTAGACAGCTAGTCGACACACACCGCGGAATCAGAGTACCCTTACTGTATAACGGTTTGGAAGTCTTATCGCTCCCCGTTTCTGAATCAGAATCCATCCCTAAACTGCTAATCGAAGTCTTATCGCTTCCCGTTTCTGAATCAGAATCCATCCCTAAACTGCTAGTATACACAAACCCCGGAATCAGAGTACCCTTATTGTATACCGGTTTGGAATTCTTAAGGCTTTCCGTTTATGAATCAGAATCCATCCCTAGACTGCTAATCGACAAACGGAGGAGAGAGAAACTAGTCTCTAATATCTAGTGTTTCCTTTCCGTAGAGCCCATTCCCTTCTTCACCCTTCCATTATTTTTTATTTTTATTTTTATTTTTTGTCTTCCCTTCCGTTTGTTTACAAAGAGTCCTTCCACTATACCGAAAGCAAATACCGTTAGATGCTTCACACCGTTGATTTAATTTTTATGAGTTTTTAGCCGTTGATAAGTTTAAATTGGAGGATTCCAGTTATTTATTGGACGGGTAATCACAATGAAATTAGGTTTCACTTAAAAATTAAATAATCTCGTACTAAAAAAAAAAATAACATATCTAAAAAAATGTGATAAATTTGCCATCAAAAGTCATAACCTATCCCAACAGTGGTAATCAACTCAAAAATTATAATTATGAGTGTTCACCCTATTCTATGGGTAAGAAATATAGTCTTTCATTTTTCTATCCGATATATTACGAATTTTTTTTTTCTTATCCTATCTTACTCGATCAAGTGTAATATTTTTATCCGATTAATCGGGTAGTAAGTTGGACAAACACTTTTGTAATTATTAATTTTTGGATTATTTTAATAATTCAATTAAATAATATGCACCAATTTAACAACAAAATAAATCAATAACACTAAAATCTAAAACAACTACAACAACAATTACAATAAAATATAAGAAAAAAAAACAATAAAATACAAGAAAATATAAACATCAATCCATCATAATTGTTACACAAATATAATATCAATTATTTTAAATTTAAACCATATGAAATACATTAAAATTATAACTACTTCAATAGATCACTAGTTCACCACATATCATGTAACCTATACCAAAAATAAAAGTTTTTAAACAAACAAAATTTTTGTTTAAGAAGAAGCCCTAGTCAGCTCTGTACAAGCCCTAGTAGTCACCTAGCTCCTTCGATAGCGAAAACACCGTCACACAGAGCATCATGATCAAGAAGAAGCTGGCGTAGAAGCAGAGACAGAATGGACCCAATCCTCACTGGATTCGCATGAGTACCGAAAACACCATCATGTACAATGTAAAGTGCAGGCACGGGCACCGTACGAAAGCTAGGGTTTTGAGGTTCATTAAATAGTTATTTTGGATTCCGATTTAAGACTTGAAATTAGGGTTTTTCATGTTTAATGTTAACTGGATAAATTTTAAAAGCTTAAAAAATACAGAGAAGACCTGAATGATGTTTGAAAGCTAGGGTTTTAAAGTTCATTAACTTGTTGCTTAAAAAAAAATTAGATCTGTAGATGAAGGCTTGAATGATGAAAGCCACCAAATTGTGCCCAAACAGAGACAGAGATAGACAGAGAAAGAGAGTACCTGCGAGGTCGGGATTAAACGATGAAGGCCTGAGCTATGGAGGCAGAGACTTGAGCGATGAAAGCCAATGGAGGCGAGAGGAGAGGAGTGTAGTGAGGCGCTCGCTTAGTCAGTAGACGATAAGGTTGGTTAGCAATTAGGGTTTTTTTAGTTTATATATATATAAATTAATTAATGCGGGTAGGATAGGATATGAATGCAAAAATAGATGGGTATTCTGCATTTCTACCCGATTTTATTGGAAGATCAAAAACTCTTCTGTATTCCTACTTGATTTTTGCGGCTAGTCATTCAGTAAGATAAAATAAGGTCGAGTAGAGTAGGAAATTACGACCAATCAAAAATTTAAACGCCCATAATTGTAACACCACTTTAAAAGATTGTAACCTAAACCAAGAAAGTTATAATTTCATTGACTTCAAAAAAGATGTAACCTAATCCAAAAAGCTTATAATATAATCAGAAAAATTGTAATCTCATAAAAAAAAAAGTTGTAACCTAGTCCAAAAAAATTGTAATTTCTACCACAAAAGTTATAATTCCACTTAAAAAAGTGTTAACTCCACCAAAAAAAGTAATAACTCCACCACCCAAAAGGTTGTAAGTCAAGCAACCCAAAAGTTGGCAGCCAATCTAAAAGATTGTAACCCAATCCAAAAAAATTGGAATCCTATCCCAAAAATTGTAACTTAATCCATTATATTAGTTGGAACCCTACCAAAAAAATTAAAGCCCAACCCAAAACAAGTAGACCCCACCTAAAAATTATAACATAATTATAAAAGTTGTAACATAATAGGCTAATACAAAAAATTAGACTCCTGAAACTCAATTAGAAAATTGGAACCCACCCAAAAAGTTGTAACCTAATCAAAAAAATTGGAACCCACATCCCAAAGGTCATAGATCCCTATTAAAAAAAATTAAAACTCAACCCAAAAAAGTTAGAACTTCCTAGACAAGTTGGAATCTACTCCCAAAAGTTATAACCTAATCTATCATAAAAGTTGAATATCTACTAAAAAAGTTAGAACTCAAACAAAAAAAATTAAACCTAGTAACTCACTTATAAAAGTTGGAACCCACCCCATAACCCAATTAGAAAAGTTGGAACTCACCCCTAATTTTTATAAAAGTTGGAACCCACCCCATAACCCAATTAGAAAAGTTGGAACTCACCCCTAATTTTGTCCCCTACTAAAAAGGTTGGAACGCAACTCAAAAAAATTAGAACTCAACTCAAAAAATTAGATTCTATCTCTAAAAAGTTAGACCCACCCCAAAAATATATTTATTATAAAAGTTGAACCCATACCAAAAAAGTTATAAACCAATCAAAAAAGTTAGAATCCACACCCCAAAGTTTGTAACCACTACCTAAAAGGTTAGAACTCAACTCAAAAAAATTGAACCTCATCCAAAAAAAGTTGGAACCCTTCTAGACATGAATCCACCTCCAAAAGTTATTACTTAATCCATCATAAAAGTTGAACCCCCACAAAAAAGTTAGAACTTAACCCAAAAAATTAGATCCTATAAAATTTTAGTAACTTTACTTATAATTAAAAAAATTTGTATTTTAACTAAAATTTGTGTGATAGTTAAGAGATAAAAGTGTATTTACTCTTATGGTTGTAATTTATTTATTTGTAACATTTTTTTTTATATTTTTGACAACTTTTTCTTACCAAATTACGAGTGGTCACAAAGTAGTATGGTTGGTCGTAATTTGTTTATTTATTTTTAATCGTTACAATTTTTTCCTTATTGTTAAAACTTTTTTCTTGCTGAATTATGATCGCGAGATAGTACAATCGGTCGTAATTTATTTATTTATTACAATTAAGTTAATAACACTTTATCCTCTAACTTTTTTCAATTTTGAGTTTCACTAAAAAAAAAACCCAAATAATAGGACCAACCATAAATATATAAATATTACAACATTTACCAATGGTTAATTACAACATTTGTAAATGTTAATAGTTGTAATTTTGTCCTATAAAACTTTAATTGATTTGGTCTTTAAAAGCGGGACTATTTAGAAATATTGAATATTTTTGGACTAAACTCAAAAATTTTGTTACAGTTAGAGGATAAAAGTATAATATTAACCCTTTAAATTAAGATGGATCACTAGTGCTTACGGTCGGTCGGTCGTCTTGGCCTCATTTATTAATCACACTTTTATACTCTAACTATCAAATTGTCATTTTCATCCAAATATATTCAATTTTTTTATTTTATTCCCTAAAATTTTAATCTAATCGTTCTTAATCATTGTAGTTAACAAGACTGACCATAACTCCTAATTTAATTTAACGTTAATAAGAATTTTATCCCCTAACTTATCAATTTTGAGTTTAGCAAAAAAAGTTAATAATTTAGGAGACCATAAATACATAAATATTATCTAATTTAACAATGCTTAATTAGTTTTGTCAAAGAATCAATTATAAACCGGCCATAAATATCTAATCTAATTTAAAAATATTTAACTACACTTTTATCCTATTATTTTTGTGAATTTCTCATAAAAAATCTATATTGGAGATGATGGATTTAGTTACATTAACGAGCCTTAAATTGAATATGATCGCACATGCTTAGTTTTAAATAAATTATGTGTATTAAAATTATACTTATATCCACCCGTTTCATTATTTTCAAATTATTTGAATATTAATTTGATAAAATTTATTAGATGAAATTGAATGTTAATTTGGTATTGATTTGATGAATTAAATGTTTATTGGATAAAGTTGTAAATTACTTTGGTGTTGATTTTATAAATTGAATTTTTATTGGATAATTTTGAATGTTAATTTGATTAATTGAACGTTAATTTAGTGTAAATCTGATACATTGAATATTAATTGGATGAAATTGCTTGTTACTTTGATTTTGATTTTGATTTTATAAATTGAAACTTTATTGAATGATTTAGAATGTTAATTGAATGAATTTGAATATAAAGTAGATGAATTGAATATTAATTAAATGAGATTAGATGTTAAGTTGATGAATTAAATGCTTATTAGATGATGTTGAATGTTAATTTGATATAAATTTGATGAATTGAATATTAATTGGATGAAATTGCATATTACTTTGGTTTTGATTTTATCAATTAAATCTTTATTGCATGATTTTGGATGTTAAATGTTTTGTCTAGGACTATTTAAACACAAATTGAATATTTTAGAAATTAAATTAAAAAAAAATTAATACTTTGGAAACCAAACTAATAAATGTGTATAATTTAGGAATAGGAGGAGGGAGATAGGGGGCGCGACACGAGCATACTAAGTGAGAGTCCACAATGTTTAAAGGGTCTATGAAGTGATCCAAGTTTAATTGAACCATACATCAGTTAAAAATTAACTACCCAAATACATAGGGTTAAGAGCACATTTGAGAATTAAAAAATTTTCATGTTAAAATATTTTTATTGGTAATATTATATCATATAAATATAGATATAGATAGTGTCTTTCACATTGTATTTTAAGTAATGATAGATTTCATACTGCTTC